ATTTTAGTGCTGAAAGCACTTTAAAATACCTACCTTTTATTTTACTGAAAAAGCAACTTAGGCTTCCCAAAGAAGCATTGGGATTTGGTGGTCACACAGAGGTGATAAGGGAAGACACAAGTCTGTTAAAGTAATGTTGTGGGAACATTCATTTATGGAGGCCCTACTAGGTATAGAAGAATGCCCATTGTTGGGAGATGGGCTTGTGGAAGGTTTGTGAGGTTTCTAGCTAAGTGCAGCTCTTTAATTCTTAGCTCTTCTATCTACAGTGTAATGGGACCAGGCTAGACTCAACTAGCAGGCAGAAAAGCTGACATATGAGAATCTTACCCCTCCAGTAAAAGGAAAAAAGGGAAGGAAGGGAGGGAAGGAGGAAGGAGCTTATAGTCCATGTTAACAATTTTAATGTCAAGTTTCCACAATCAGACGAAAGAAAATAAAATTTAGATATAGGGAAGATTTGAATATGGTGAAAAAGAGCCTCATAGTAGATTCATATTGAAATTGCTACAACATTTTATTGGCTTGAATGACTAGACTCAAATCTAATTTTAAGCTAGCAGTATAGACTTAGAATCATAGTTAAATTTATAGTTGGCCATAATTTGAACATGCATTTTTTGTAGATTTTCTTTAAGTTAGTCAACACTAATGTATATATCAGTCGTTCCCAGGAATTCACACTTGAATTAGAAAAGATTAAAAGTCATTAAGTATCTCTTGTTTAAATCAAAAATTTTGTATTTTTTCTTATCACAGAAGCAAAGCAGGTTCACTCCAAGAAAAATTATTAAGAATGACTTTCCTTCAATGTTAATTCCCCAAAGTAACTAATATTATTGTCTTAGATTGTATCCTTAGAGATTTTTTCCTTTTATATTTACCTGATAAAATACCAAAAAAAGTAAAAGAATGAAAAGTCAGTCACAAGTCCAGTTCTGTTTCATCATTCCAGACCATGTGCTATCTTCTCCCCTAAAGTTACCAAAGTGGTAACTTAAGATGAGTGTCTTTTCTGATTTTTTTTTGACTAAGTTCATGCAGTATATCTATATTGATGCACAAATCCATTTGTGTATATTTTCATGAATCTTGAATCATGAAACATTTTTAAGCAAAATGTATTGTAGATTTTTTGCCATCAATGTATAGCCCAACTTTATTCTTTTCAATATTGTATTGGTATTACTAATGTAGGTATTCAACAATTTATTAAACTATTTACCAAACACTGACTATGCCACTTTTGCCACTTTCTTACTTTTATAAGCAGTATTCATGTAAAGGGCCTTGTGTATCATTTACCTTTAAATATTTTTCTGCTATCATTTAAGTAAAGTAGATTTCTGATAGACGTAATAGTAATAACAACGAAAAAGAGAAGTAAAATAAATAACATTTAATAAATTCCTACAATGTTCCAGGCTTTGTGGTAAATGCATATTTAACCTTCACAATGTTCTTCTGAAGTAGATATAGTCTAAAATTCTATTTTGAAGATGAACATAATGAGAATAGTTGAGAAACTTGCTCAAAATCACACAGGCAGCAAGTAATGGAGCCAGAATTCAAACCCAAGCCATCTGATGATAAGGCCTTCTGAGGAAATATCTATACTGTTATCCAGTATTTTATACTGCCCTGGCTTATCAAGAAAGATAACTCCTAGGTCTCAGGGTAGACCCTCAAAATGTTAGAAGTGACATCACCAAAAACTGTGGAATAAGAAATACTAAAATCCCACATCTTCATAAAAGCAATAAGAAACTGGTAAAACTGTTAAAATCAGCTTTTTCAGAACTTTGGAAACTAGCCAACAGCTTGCAACCCTGAGTACATGTATTCAAGAAAAATGGTAGAATCTTGGTAAAGAATAGTAATCCTTATGGTGTTGCAACTTACACTAGTCCCATACCCACTCCCTACCTAAGTGGTAGTCTTGAAAATAAAGCCTGAATTCCTGGTACCAGAAGGAGGAGAATAGAGCTCATCCAAAAAGAATTGTCATTACTTCATCTGTATTATGCCTCCCTGGAAGATCTTCTCAAAAAGCTTGTTTTTATTTCATTTGACTCAGAATTCCCCCAGTGCCAAAGCTACCACCTGAAGGATGCATACTGAAAGCATTTCCAGGCAAATATTTTAGCTGCTTCTGCCTGAGGCAGTGGATAACATCTGGGGCAAACAATGGGCTAACCAAAAGGTTTGAGAGGAAAAGCTGGTGAACTAATTGTACATAAGTGATTTGAAAAGCACTGACATATTTCCTGGAATCTAGAAGACCACATGCATACATAGAGCTATGTGAATACACAAAAAAGGACTGAGGAAGCCCAAAGCGCTCCCCTCTTGTTGAGCTTGAGCCTCTATACAAGCAGGAAGTGGATGCGAAGGCAGAGTTGTAAACTGCCTGGTTGAATGATGAAGACATATCCCAACCTGCACACCGAATTACCTGACAAAGACTGAGAGTTTTTTTGGTTTCAAGTGTTTCAGCAAAAATCTATGCAATCATTAGATGACTACTAAGCTAAGAAAACAGAGACTTAAGTGGTCCCAAATGAAAAGAATACAGACTTCACAGAATTAGTTAAGAAAAGTCACTAAACAAACAGAGACAATAAATACAACAAGCAAAAATTGACAAAAGACCCTGGAGAGGGCAAGAATATGATTTCCAGAATTGCCACATTACAGTATTCAAAGTCCAGCTTACGGGCTTTCCTGGTGGCTCAGTGGTTGAGAGTCCGCCTGCCGATGCAGGGGACACGGGTTCGTGCCCCGGTCTGGGAGGATCCCACATGCCGCGGAGCGGCTGGGCCCGTGAGCCATGGCTGCTGAGCCTGCGCGTCCGGAGCCTGTGCTCCGCAACGGGAGAGGCCGCGACAGTGAGAGGCCCGCGAACCGCAAAAAAAAAAAAAATGTTGCCGAAAGAAATTAAAGTTCTAAATAAATGGAGATGATATATGTATATGTGATTTAAATGGATAGATATGTATCCCATGTTTGGGAATTGGAAGACTTAATGTAGTTAAGATGGTAATACTTCCCCAAACAAGGGATTCAATGCAATACCTATCAAAACTCCAGCGACCATTTTTGAAAAAATGAGCAACTGACCATAAAATCATAGGAAAGTGTAAGGGACCCTGAAAAGCTAAAACAAACTTAAAAAAGAATAAGAAATTTGGAGAACTCCTGCTTCCCAATTTCAGCACTTACTCTAAAGCTCTAAGTTATCAAAACTGTGAAATTTGCATAAGGACAGACGTGTAGATTAATGGAATAGAATTGAAAGTCCAGAGTAAACCCATATATCTATGATCAATTGATTTCATCAACAGTGCTAAGATCATTTAATGGGGAAAGAAAAGTCTTTTCTGCAAATGTTGCTGGGCCCACTGGCTATCCACATGAGAAAGAATGAATTTGGACGTCTACCATACACAAAAATCACCTCAAAAAGGACCAAAGACCTAAATGTAAGAACTAAAACTATAAAACTCAAAAGAAAATATAGGCCTAAATCTTTATGACCTCAGATTAGGCAACAGTCTCTTAGATATTTGTAATCCCTATTAAAGAGAATGTCAATTGCCCCACATCCTCTCCAATGCCAGGATAGTATCAATCTTTTAAGGTTTTGCTAACATTTTGCTGATAATATTGTTTTGAAAAGGTATCTCATTATTGCTTTTTTTTTCCTTGACTGCTGGTGAAGTTAAATATAGTTTCATATATTGATTCATCATTTGCATTGCCATGTATATATATGTGTGTGTGTGTGTGTGTGTGTGTGTACAGGTGGATATGGTTGTATTTGTGGGTATGTGTGGGTGTATCTGGCATGTGCTCTACCAAATTCTCGAAAAAAGACACCATCTAAAACCTTTCACAGTTTGATGCATGCAAACACAATGTATTTCTGTAAATGTGGTTTTTAATATTGACTCAGCAGCAGGTGAGATAAATTTATTTTTCTACTTTTTATCCCTACTGCTACCATCATATTCCCAGATGCATTCACTCATGATTAAATAGAATTATTGCTATTTTGAACTTCTAACTCTATGGTAAGTGAGAAAAAAGGCTGTTTTATTTATCCTAAGGGAAAGTAAAAAATAAAATATAAAAAATTTCAGTATATGAATGAACATTTCAATTGTCTTTTAATTTAATGTATCCCCTATGTACATAACTAATCCTCTCTTGAATCTCTGATAAAACAGGTAATTGTAGACATTTTGACCTGCTGATACTGTGACTGGCTTCTGAGTTATTGCTTTCTTTTTACTTAACCATTGTGACTTCCCAGGCTATAGGCAGAAAAGCTTTATAATGCAAGGAATGAAATTATTTATTAAACCAACAAAGGTATATAATATACCTTTTTAGTGATTTTAATTTTATAAGGTTTGGGATTTAGATGCTTGTTTTATTTTCTGAAGATTCTAAGCTGCATTATGAAAGAAATTATGTCCTCACAATGCTAGGCAATCCAGAATTAATTTCATCCTTAGGTAGCTATACTTAGAATGAAGAACTTCTTAATCATAGTTCTATTGTGACTACTAGTGTGGATGATTGGTCGTCTGCTTAGAATGATTCAAATAAATGATGAACAAATTAATGTGAGGCTTTGTGAAAGATTTTTTTTTAATTAATGTTAATGGACAATGGGTCAATTTCAAGTCCTTCTTTCCTCATAGGAAATTCTATTTCAGTTTCACCAGTCTTTCTAACCTCAACGGTATTTAAGAGAAAAAGGAGATTCATACAAACAAAAATGGAAAATGAAAGCATTTCAGAGTCATCACTTCAAAACGTATAATAGCCATTTACAATAATTAACTTCACACTGTTTTCTTTCTGAAGATTTTTGTTTGCTTTTTTAATGGCTAGAGGTGGCACTGAAAGTACCTTTGGGAAAGAAAAAAAAAGTATTTCCAATGCTGTCCTGCTGGTATTTGTTGACGTTTTTGCTTCCTATCTTTCTGCAGGAGTAACAACTGTTCTAACAATGACAACTCTAAGCATCAGTGCTCGGAATTCTCTCCCCAAAGTGGCTTATGCAACTGCCATGGACTGGTTTATTGCTGTTTGTTATGCATTTGTGTTCTCTGCCCTAATTGAATTTGCAACTGTTAATTACTTCACCAAAAGAGGATGGGCTTGGGATGGAAAGAGTGTAGTAAATGACAAGGTAAGTGAGAACTTCCTTCTCACCGTGATTAAGAGAATCCTCCAACAGATTTAGCTTGCAACAGATACTGTTCCTCAAAACTGACATTAAGAACATTCAAACATAAAAGATTTCTTTCAAAGTACGCTCTTGCCTGAAATCCTTTAGGAGTGCTGGTAGTATTACTTCCGTTAAAACCACTTCCTAGCATCTTTTGAGCTCTGTGTGTCAGGCACTGTGCTAAGTTTTTTAGATATGTTCTCTCATGTAATCTTTACAACTTTATAACTAGGGTTTCTTTTTAATTCTCATTTTTTTCTGATGAAGAAGCTATGGATGGCTTAGTGAGGTTATTTACGTGCTCAAGCTCACACAAGTTAATAAGTATACTTAAACCCAGATCTGCCTGACCATTAAATTCATGCTCTTAACCACGCTGGTTTATAGGAAAAAGATTTGGAAAAGAAAAGTGGGCATTAACTTTCCCAGTTATAGAATTTTAGGCCCTATCAAGTGGGCTGAGTTACTCTTCACCTACCCCCATCTCTGTTGCTTGGATGTAAGAGACTGGCAGCATCGTAATCTCTCCCATGTTGTATGGAATAAGTAACTAGGTAGGAATGCCTAGACATTTTAAGTTGCTCCTGCAGTCTATAAGAGAAAAAGTATTTGTTTTGAAGATTAACTTCTTTGGTAATTATTTCAGGTGTCTATTTTTAGGTTTCAAGTACTGAAGGAAGTGGGAGTTTTGTGCATTGATAAATAGCCATTTCCTTTCTTAGTCTATAGATTATTATTCATCTGTCTTAAGAGGAGGTTTTGTATATGTCACAATGAGATATAAAGTAGTCTTAATAATAGTAAAAAGTTCTACTTGGAGGGCTCCTTTTTAATAAAATATCTACCTGAATACCCTTCCATTAAATTTGGAATAACATACTTGCTGATTTTCCTTTTCAGTTATTTGAATATAAATTTTTTTTCAAATTTCTATGACAATATTGCAGTTAAAGCGTACAAACAGTTGATGTTATAGTTTAAAAGTCTTGCTCTTTTTCCCTAATTTTGTAAACTGTATAAGTTCTCATAAGACTGCTGGTTTATTTCATTTTATAAGCTATGTTTTGTATACTAATAGCCAATGAGTAAATATTAAAGGGAATCTGATTAATTTTCCATGCTTAACTTCTAGGTTATTTTACCATTTCCATTGCATTTTACTGTTGATTGATGTTGTCATTCCCCATAAAATATACTGCTTTTCCATTGCTATCTATGCAATTACTCCTTTTTATATTAGTTACACATGCACTTTCATACTAACTTTTTTTGAAGATAAAATGCTTTGTAAATATGTCACAAAAGATAAATAGTGGTTTGTAGTGTAAATGCCCTGTGTAGAAATATACTGATATATTATTTTTAATGCGATGAGGGTGTCAATCAAATTGATATTGTGATTTGGCATATCAAATAATATGCCTTCTCACCCCCTGAACTTGGAAAAGAGAAGTACCTATAAATGCGAAAAACACATTCTTGATAATGCATTCTAAAAGCAATAACCTACTACTGATGAATACTGGATTTAACTCCACCCACATAGCAGATCACACATAGTGAAGCTAAATCTAGGTTGAAATTATTTATGTTCCAACCTAATTTGCAGGAAAACAACTAACAAATTTGTATTATTTCAGTAATAAGTGATTCAAGTTCAGTGGATAAGTTAAAGGGAACATTATATCAGGCACCTTGCTTGTTCTTAATCACTTTTCCACAGCTAGAGTGCCAAGCACAGTGCCAGTCACTTAGTAGGCACTTCAGAAAGTTTTGCTGAATAAAAGAATAAATAAGTTTCTGATATTAGATCTGGCAATGTAATACCAATGAGAAGACTTCTTTGCCTTCATGGAAAGACTTTTAAAACTTTACAGTGGTGAATTTATCAATGGGTACTCAATCCATTTTCATGATTGAAATGAATCTGGGGAGGTATTTCCTAAACCTACCTTGGAAGTAACCAGGTCCTTAGAACTAAAAGGAAATCTAGTATAGTGCCCCAAACTAGCACATATGCCTAAAAAAAATATTTCAGTGCAATTTACCTCTGCTTTAGTTATCCTTAGATTTAATTAAGTGGAGAACAATAATTTTCCTGAAATACAAAGTTTTTATCCATCAGCCAAACTGGCATCCTTTCAGTTTAACCAGACTGGAGGAAGTCCTCTTTTTTGAAGTTAGTAAACATGAGTAAATGCACTTAAATTATCTGTCAATCCAAAGAGTATATAAAAAGTTATTAAAGGTTTGTTAACTGGCAAGTATTAATTTGTCTCATAAGAATAATCACTCAGAGATTCATATTAATATTATATGTTTGAAAGAAAGAGATATGTATTTAACATACAGTTTTCATGTAGATTGTGCTCTGTTGATCTTTAAAGTTAGTTTTTGCAAATAAATAAATAAATCCACTCACTTCATATTCAAGACACATTTGAGCCCTCTATTAGAAGACAAAGCCTACCTTGCTCTGTGATCTTGCACAAGTGTGTACACTATACCTTTAGCCTAAGGTGTGAAATTAGTCAACAAAATTTTATCATTCTAAAAATGTAGTGGTGGATCAAATAATCTAACTTATATGGAAGGGCAAATATTTATGCCCTTCCATATAAGAAAATATCTACTTATGCAACCCCCCAAGTTCTTCCGGAACCTTCTCTTACACCCAGTGTTCTTCCACTTCCTCAAGACTTCCACCCCATCTCTTGATTCTTTTCTTCTTGTTCCTTTTTCAATCTTGAAGCATCAGTTATTATTTTCTTCTCTTACTTCTTCAAAGCTATCTTCTCCTTTTCAACTGTCTCCTTGCTTTAAGTTTCTGAAGATGCTTAATATGTTATTTATCATAAAGGCAAAACCAAAACTCTCTCCAGATTGTATGTCACCCATTTCCCCATTATCAGATTCCACCCTCTTTTTCTCCATTCAAGCTTTTTGAAAACATTGCTTATAATGTGTATGTTCTCACTTCTAGTTTCTCAGCTCACTGTAATTCTTTCCATTCATTGTCCTATAACTGAAGGACAGCAACGACCTCTACATTTTCAGGTAAGATAATTTTCCATTCTTAAGGGATCCCCATTGAATCCATTGAATACTGTTATACTCCAAGATTCCATTTCAGGTCCAAGTCAGCAACTTTTTCTCTTCTGTTAGGCCTTTAAAACAGGCCTTAGAATATCAACTTCCTTCCTCAAATCTTGGCAGCTACCACTATTCATTCTGTTCTTTGAGATTCTTTGCCTGAGTTCAGAGTAGATCCAATCTCCTTAGCATCTGCTGTTGTTTATCCCCAAAATAGTCATTTACATTTATTTTCTGTTTTTGTTTTTACCATTCATATGTGATTCTCACTTAAAGGATTTTACTGACAATACTTGTAGGAATGTCAGCAACACTAAGCACACTGTTTATTATTTATTATATCCAAATAGGTAAAACCCACTCATCTTCAGCACATATACCAATCCTCAGGAAATTTCTGAACACTTGCTCCCCACACCCCTGAATAATTAGATCACTTTATAAGTGTGTATAGTATCCTGCTCATTTCCATTTAATTCTTTATCACAGTTTGTAATTGCATGCTTATATACCACCTCCTTCACTGATCATGATAACAATGACCATGTTTATTTTAATAAATCATTTATCCTTGTCCCTTCGCACAGGGCCTAGTATATATTAGTTGCTCAATAAATATGGTATGAATTAATGAAGTATAACCAAATCACAACTACAGCCAACACCTTTATCTTACCTTCCACAGTTATTATCTACAGCTATACTCCATACCTTTCTTTTAACTTCCAAGCTCATATATCCAACCTGTTCCCTAGGCATTTCTACATGAATATGACATTTCAGTCTTTACATATCTCTTTTAAAAGGTGAAAGAAACAACAAACAAACAAAAAATCTCCTAAATGCCTACATTTTTTTTTTCATATATACCTCAGTTCATGGCAAAACCTAATCTCAGAAACCAACAACTTGGAAGTTACCCTTAAGACCTAATCAGTCATTGAATGATGTCCATTCTCCTACCTATATGTCATAGACCATGCCCTTGCCTCTCTCATTATTTTGAGACTCTTTATTCCTCATTATCTCTAAATCATGTCTCCCTTTAATCCATCCTCTACAGTAGTGCCAGAGTTATCTTTCTAAAACAGAAATCTGTTCATTTAATTTTTCAGCTCTTTAATGCATTTTTGAAAGCAATTCTTCAAGCAGCTCAGCTAATATGGTCCAAATATATAGCCTTCTCATATATTTGTTTACATAATAAATAATAAGAAATTTTGTGTGTGTGTAATTTATTGTGCACTTACTACTATGTGCCTGGGAATATCTCCATGTTAGAAATGAGGAAATATAAGATTGGTCAAGTAAAGTTACTTGCTCAGGATCACACATCTAATAAGTGGTGAATCCAAGATTGAACACAGGTCTAAAGTCCATGCTTATATGCTTCCTCTAGCCATTAAAAACATCTCCCAATTCCATGCCCTTACACATCTCCATGGCATTAGATGTGTTCAGCCCTCTTGCTAAAATGCCCTCTCCTTTCTTTTCCAACTGATGAACTACTTATTCCTTCAAATCTATCCAATTGTATCTAATTGCCATCCCCCCATTATCCTTCTACAGTACCTGGCATGAATTTCTTTTATGTAACCTCATTAAATTATACTTTTATTATAAACAAATCTGTTTCTAACAGTAGGTTACCTGATCTAAGAGGATAATAGTTTTGTCTTATTCATTATTTCTCTGCCAATACCTGACATAGCATTTAGCACATAGTTTATTTGAATTAAATTTTTAAAAATACCTTTTGTCTCGAGATTGTTTTTATTTCTAAATCTGAGTCAGTGGTTCTACACTGGCCAAGAAAAGCATATTCTCTGGAAATACACTATATATTAAATTACTTGAAATATAGGCATAGCACCATAATATCCAAACTAACATGAAATGTGCCATTGTTTTGTGATTCACTCCATGCAATTCATAGAAAACATTGTATTTCAGGTGTTTTTATTCATTTATATGCATTTTTAAACATCATGCCTTGTTCCAAAAGCATTTCAGGAAGTTTACCAAAAGAATGCATGTACTTAAATTATTATAATAAGATATAGATAGAAGTAGAAAATCAGGATGAAGGAAAATAGACTGCAGATATGTCCACCATTTGGGCCAGAACATTAACTGTAGTTCATAGCTAGATTATGCTGAGATTCAAATCTTGAGCTTCTTGGCTATGAGAGTAAACCATGGGGGAAACTTATCTTTCTTTAACCAAAAAATGGATGTATAAATTTCCTCAGAAAGAACGACTGTCCTACACTAAAAATCTTTTTTAAACAATATCATATGGGTTTGATATTAGGGAAATTTGGGTGCTATTGCAAGTAATGTCAACATTTTCCCAGTAAAAGCAGTAATGAATTTTATATTGATGTTTCTTGTAGTCCCCTTCAATAAAAGCTGAAGGCATTACATTAATATACAACTCAGTGAAGGCAATTCTTCAAGGAGCTAAGCTAATATGGTCCAAGTATATAGCTTTCTCATGGCCCAGTTTAATCCAAGGAAAGACTTTAGAGTACTTAGAGAAGTGGATGGACTGTATAACCTTCAAACAATCTTCTGTAAGTATCACTTTTCTCAGTCAGGATGGTTAGCAGACAGTTAACAATAGCATCTGACAAGGGAGCATGTTGTTGTTTTACAAGTAATGGGCTTTCTAGTAGCCACAATGACTGTAAAAAAGCAACATGGTATGTAGAAAGAGCATAAATTTGCCACTTTGTAAACCTGGGGTTTTCTCCAAAGACTGTTGTATTTAGTGTTGTATTTATGAGAGCTCCATTTCCTTATTCTAAGCTCTATTTCCTTATTCAGTCTCTGAGATTCTTTCCAACTCTGAAACTATGTGATTGTTATTTTCATTTATATCCTAGGTCACTTCACTACTAGGTGTCTATATTTTAGCTAAAGCATTTGCTCAATTTACTAACACTTCATTTTATCTAATACTCCAAGAAAACCAAAACTGGTTTGCCACGATGATGTAAGATGTTTTGATTTCTGTAATCAGGAATTTTCCAGACTTAAAATTTTAATTATATATTTAGACACTCTAATAAAGTAATAACCTCAGAATATTCTGATTCTTATAAAATGTCATTTAAAAAATAGAAAGTTTAGGGCTTCCCTGGTGGCGCAGTGGTTGAGAGTCCGCCTAACGATGAAGGGGACACGGGTTCGTGCCCCAGTCCGGGAGGAACCCACATGCCGTGGAGCGGCTGGGCCTGTGAGCCATGGCCGCTGAGCCTGCGCGTCCGGAGCCTGTGCTCCGCAACGGGAGAGGCCACAACAGTGAGAGGCCCGCGTACCGCAAAAAAAAAAAAAAAAAAGAAAGTTTAATTAGTATGGGTTATCTTCCCTTTTCATTCCACTTAAGTAACAGCATCCACTGATTCTAAAGCAGCATAATTTACTTTTTTTCCCCAGATAATGTATGAAAATAAATCATTTGCTGTTTTAGTGTATAGTCATATTTTCCCACTTCCCTCTTATATGTCTCAATCACAAGTGAAACAGTTTCCACAAACGTGGAAATTCCACAGCATTGTTTTTCAGTTGAGCTTATTTTATTATTTCTCAGTCTCCTACATCTATAGGTGTTGAAATTGAGGACTTTCAGGATAATTACATAATAGAATTGCAGAACACACTATTAGAATCTATTTCTATTAATCTAATAAATGGTTATTGTATTCTATAAAATACATTATATGCTTATATACATTATATATATATATATATATTATCACAGTAATCATTCTAGTAGATGTCATTCATTTATCATGAAGCAAACATTTTTTGAGCCTGCCCTGTGCCAGGAACTTTGTTAGGAATTCTGCATTGCCCAATCTCTGCAATTCGATATCATTTTAAGTGATGTTTAGGTATAATTGAAATAATAACAATATAAACACTATGTGTCAGAATTTTATGGGTTAAAAAGTCCTTTTAGAAGGTTGACCTAGTAATATATACTTCAATTGGAAAATCTTGAGAAAAAGATACTCACAAGCTTCCTCAGAGGTAGTCACGAGGCATGCTCCAAGCAGAGGTTTGAAAACCACACACATTTGAGTTTGTGTGCTTTTTTAGCCACTTAGTAGACAGGAGACCTGGTCATGTCACAAAACCTCTTTAGCTTCTGTTTCTGATTTTGTAACTTGGGGTTACAACATAGAACTTACTTCTTATCCAGTAGTGAATTTTGTCAGCAATGACACCCTTAGGCTTAACACTCAACCTGACACATCCTAGGGCTCACAGGGTGTTAGTTATCATTGCTACCAGTTAGATGCTTGAGGATTACCCTCCATGTGTAACATGGGAAAAGCTGTTTTATAGCTTTCATAAAGCTACAAATGGTAATCCCTTACCCCTTTTCCTTTTTTGCTCCAGCCAGTTCTGGAAGAATGCCTTAACAGCAAGGGAAAGAGGTGAGGGAGAAACCCAGTGTCAGTGAAGGACAGGAAATGTGAGCCTGTTTACAGACCCTCCTGGGCTTTCAGAGGCCCTTTGTTATCTTATTTTACTTGGACATTGTGAGATACTGATACTTGAAATTCTGTTCTAGGTCAGTTGGTCCTATAAATCTGTTGATTTACACTATTCACTATTTTGGATAATTCATTGCTGGCTCAAATTTGTTTGCATTTAGATAACTAGCAATGAGTTTGTATTAATACAGAAGTGCAGTTAAATAGTTTTCCAGGTTTCATTAAATATTATTATTTAATGTTGAGTAAATATTTTCAGGTTTTGTTAATTTGGTTACATATTACCTGCCTACTTCATGGAAGGAATCATGCTAAGGTTATAATGGTGAACAAGACAGAAATAGCGCAAGCCTTCAATGAACTTAGATTCTAAAAGGAAAGGAAGATGTCAGTCAAATAATCACACAACTAAAGAAAGAATTTACTCATTTTGAAAAATGACATGATGGAAGTAAACTGAGTGCTCTAAAAGAGTATAGATGGGGAGCCAGGATGACATTAGATAGAGTGGTTAGGAAGTACTTTCTGAGGAAATGACACTTCAACCAAGACTACAATATGAGAGGGTATTGATCATGTGGAAAATGGGATGCAGGGAAGCCATTCCAGGATGAGGAAGTGAAACCACTAGGTGGCATTTCAGGGGACTCCGAGCTCTGGTTCTTTATGTCTCAGTGCAGAAAGAATTAAGTGAGAGACAAAGAGGTAGATAAGACGTGATGTATTAGAATAGGATGCTTGTGAGGCTTACAAGCAGGCAGGCCAGAGGGTGCTGTGCCCCAAGAACTTAGCAGGCTACAGTTTTATAATCAAAGGAACAGTGGGAGGGGGAAAAAACCCCTTCTTCCTCATTCTTGAGTAGATGTCATGCTTCTATCATCAATTCCTCCTCCATGTCAGGCAGGGGAGTTTTCTTGTCCCTACATGGTCAAGCTGGGACTGTCATGCCTCAATGGAAATGAGCAAAAAGGCAGTAACTTGTGCTAAAAATGTGAAATCATCTCAGGTTTTAGTATGTCACCTTTCCTTATATTTTTGTTTTTAGTGTGCATATAGGAATGTGTCCTAGGAAACATTAATTTACTGAGCTCACTGGGCAGGATGTGGGTCTCATGCCACCATTGTTTTATTGTTTTGGGACATGTCTCGTGCTTCTGTTTCATGGTTTTGTTGCTAAGCAAGCCTGCTTGGTTTCGTGGCTAAGCAAACCTACTTTCTAGAGTGTTCCTTAACTTACAGGAGTCTCCCATAATTTTTTCTTTACTTACAGTCCCCTAGTGGGATTAACTATTTAATTACCTACTTTGTCCCTTTACTCTGGCCCTATCAGAAGTAGCATAGCCAAAGGCATCAAACAAAGAAGTCCTCCAAATGCAAGTTATTTCAGTGAGACTGGTATATAATGAACAAAAAAAGACACCATGGCAGGAAGTGTTGATTTTATTCTAAGTTCCATGAGATGGTATTTAAGAGATTTAAGCAGACGGGTGACCCCATCCAATTTATGTCTTTAAAAAGTCCCCATGGGGGTTGTAGTTTGACTAATGATTGGATGAGGTCAAGCCAAGTGGAAGAGTACAAAGGAATGCTGCTTGGTCCAGGCAGGAGAAAACTGTGACCCAGACTAAAGTGGGTGAGAACTGAACTGGGAAGTATAAGGAGAAACATGTTGTGGATGAGCTAGGCAGAAATCCAAAAGTTTGTATTTCATCTTCCATCTATGTTCTTAGTATTTATTACACTAACATCTGTATATGGATACAATTTCCTACTATCTGAGTAAAACATTACTGTATGATTTTGACATGAAGGGGAGAAATCCTGTTATCAAGTTAAAGAAATTAAATTATTAATTCAAAATTTGAGGTCATTCACTGTAGATGATCATTCCTCATGTTAAATTATGTCTACATTTCATTTACTCATTCACACATTCATTCAACAAATATTTGAGTGAGTTGTAAGAGTCAAAAATGTGTCATTTGTTAAAGTTGTATTTTTGATTGTCAGTGTTCCATGTAAACAACAAGAAAATGGTTCTCCAGGAAAATGATATCATTGATTTACTCTGGGGGTTTCCTCTCCCTCATGGTTTTAGGACTTAATAAACTACATTTATTTCCCTAATTCCTTCTTTCTAATGGATAATGATGCTTATCAAGATACTTCAGAATTTGAACTGGAGTTTGGAAAATATTAAGAAGCAGTCTCAACCCACATTCTGTTAATTCTTGTATTTTTCAATAGAAAAAAGAAAAAGCCTCTGTCATGATACAGAACAATGCTTATGCAGTGGCAGTTGCCAATTATGCCCCGAATCTTTCAAAAGACCCAGTTCTCTCCACCATCTCCAAGAGTGCAACCACGCCAGAACCCAACAAGAAGCCGGAAAACAAGCCAGCTGAAGCCAAGAAAACTTTCAACAGTGTTAGCAAAATTGACAGAATGTCTAGAATAGTTTTCCCAGTTTTGTTTGGTACATTTAATTTAGTTTACTGGGCTACATACTTAAACAGAGAACCTGTATTAGGGGTCAGTCCTTGAATCTAGACACAGGTTGTCTTTGGGATGTATAGCAACATTAAACCTGGTTTGTTTTGCCATGTACAGTCTGACTAATAACTGCTAATTTGTGAACCAACATGTACAGTATGTATATAGCAACATAGCTTATAGACCTCTAATAGAGACACGCATTTGCTAACTTGTGGTACTGCAGGCAGAAAGCACCCCATGCCCAAAAAGCCATTGCCTTTTTAAAAGATTTACCCTAGGAACTGGTTTAAAGTGGATTTCAGATGACCTGATTTATTTTCTCTTTTCCTAACAGCGATGAAAATGGAGATCCTACACCACATTTTATGGACCCTTTTGATTTAGGTCTTACATAGGAGTATTTTCTACTGTTGCCTAACTATAACGTAAGGTAACATTGTTGTTCCAAGATGAATTCCTCTAAATAACAGAACCTCATATCTGCAACATCAGTTCCCTTCCCAAGTGCTCAGAATCCCTGCTAGTATAATTGGAAGCTTAGTACACATCAGAAGAAAAACTAGAGATTTGAAATCAGCTTTTAATTACCCTGTATAGTGTCCATAGCCATGTACATATTACAGCATGACAAATTCAAATAATTATGAGTCACCCTGACAGGATGTTCATTATGCCTAGAATTTAATAACTATTGGAATGTCGTGGACATGACATTTTTAGCATTAGAGTTTATTTGAAAGTAATAATTGAAATCCTACAGATTATTTTAATCATTGGAAACTACCTTAAATTAAAAAAAAAAGACAATAAATAGGTCTTACTCTTTCCAGTATGTGTTGTATTGAAATCGATCAGCTAAATTTTCTTGGTGCTGGAGACTGGAAAAAACATCCAGTTTGGCTGCTGTGGAGCAACATTCATACTGGATTAGAAAATTGTGCCAAAAACTCCCATCAATGAGAATTCATAGGTGTCACAGAATATATATAAGCACTTATATGATTCTCTCCTTTCCTGTTTACTGCAAATTCTGCCTTAAGGCTTCTTTTCATCAGGACTCAGAAGCCACTAATTACAAAGGAAAGGGCAGTTAACTGGCACATTTTTCTGTCTTGAAAGCAGCTCTTTCAGATAAGAATTAATGTAAATCTGCTTTTGTAAATTGCATCTTTAAATTTCTCTGACTCAAATTTGCAGCTTTGTATACCTGAAGAGGTTTTGGTAAGAGTTGAACATTTTTAAACTGAAACTTTAAAGCATCACCAACAGATTGCGGATTAGTTCACATGCACAGACATCACACACACACACGCACACACAATTAGCTCAATTAGGATACACACACAAACATGTAGCTAAATTAGAAACCACAATTTTCAATTTTATATAATTACTAATTATTAATGAGTAAAATTCATTTTCCTTTCAGTATTTAAAAAATATTCTTTATGTCCCTGAAATATGTTAATAGAAATTAATAGTTGTGTCTCATGCCTAGATTCAACATTTTGGGCAAACTTAAAATCCTTTTGACTCACATATACATTAGCAGTTATTAGTTGACTTTTACTAATAGATACACCTATATGATGGTGTTTTTGTAGAAACGTAAGTAGTCAAATAGTGGCATTTCTTGCAGTTTTGTACAGTATTTCAGTATAGTGCATAAATAGGTATGTTCATAAAATCAATAAAAGGAGTATCTTATGGAAATAAGCAAAATCACAACAAAAACTGCTATTTCTTTGCCTCGTTTAACTTTTATTTTTTTTCATTTTCTTTGTTTCAGTGTGATTCTGTTATGTGCTTTGCATGATTGTATTAATACCAAGGTCACAAATGCATCTTATTAACAGAATTTGCGGTGAAGACAGCCTTGACATTAAAAATTCCCTCACGAAAAGTAATCCATAATCCTTAATAAAATAAATTTGTTACATGAGCCAATTAATGTATTTCTTTAATTCCCTTCCAAAAGCACCTTCTTTGTCATCTAAATTGTTTTTAAAAGTGCACTTTATTCATACACTGGAATGGAAGATATCCTATTTTCTTACACATTTAAATATATCATAGCTCTTCTGGGCTGTTTAGGGAAGGGTGTGGTAGTCTAAGACAGTACACAATGCCTGAAGACAAGCAATAAAAAATGCTTTGTATGGTATGTATTGTTAGACACTTTAAATATTGTTCTTATAAGTTCTGCATTTCCCCCTTAATGTGTGACTATACATTATAAATTTATAAATATGTACATATGTAAAAGTATTTGTGAATAGCAGTTTCTGTAGGACAACAGAAAAGACTCATCTATACCTTTGGCAAAAGGCTGCACCTGCATTGATGGTACCTGTTTTATTAAAATTTATGGTAGATTGACCAGAAAAGTTATCATTATTGTTATTTTTATTTTTACTTTCAACTGTTAAAATCTAATTTGAGCCTAATGATATCCTGACGGTTGAGATATTCCAATAATGTGGATCAGGATTTTCTATTATTTCTCTTACTTTCGTGGAATTTTTTCTTACACACTTCTTAATCTTTTAAAGTTTATATAAATTGAAAGGAGCTTTTAATCTTGCTGGAGAGAGGGAGGATGCTCCATGGAAAAGGATTTTAAATTATAGAAGCAGAGTCTTTACAATTATTCTCCCTTCCATAAATCATTTTAAAAACACAAAAAAGTTACATGGATTTATTAAAATAAGATTAATTTTTTGGGAAACATTTTTAATAAACTAACAATGGTCTCTTTGGCCCATAATATTATGACTATTTTATGCAGCTGTATATTGACATAAAGAGTTATGGTATGTACAAAATGTAGATAAATACATGTACATATATAGAGATATAATCTCATTATTGTATAGTTACTGCTCTGATTAAGGTAATATTTGTTCAACAAAAATTTTTTACCTCCTACTATTAGCCACGCCATGTGGATGGTGTCACTACCACTCACATCACATCCACAGAATTCAGTTGAAAATCAAAGTGCATCTCATTCTTATAAAGACTTTAAATAAAAGACCAAATGTAATATAGAACTTAATTTAGCACTGAGAGTTGTTTATTGAGCTATGAGATCATGAGTGTGCTAAGATGGTGGCTGTTCTGCTCTTTTCTTCTATTTATGTTTCTATTTGTTTGAATATAAAATGGAACTAATATAGAACCATCTAATAATTTTTTTTAAACTTCAGTGATTTTTAAAGTGCCAATCTTCATGTTTAGCAGTCTTTTCAGGGATCTCTCTATTTCGAATTTATCTCAGGTTTGGATAAATGATCCCCCTGAGCCACATTTCCAGTTTTTTTGAATAGTTCATAGTTTGTTTAAAAAGAGCACAAAAGCTATTACTTCACTCACAGTTTTTGGTATATATACATATATATGTGTGTGTGTGTATATATATATATATATATATATATATATAAAGTTTTTATGATGTGGCTCTTTTCATATTGCTGGTTGAAGGAACTCAACTCTGCCATAATATCATAGGTTCTAAAAGGGCAGAGAAGCTCTATGGAGCCTATGGATGTTGTACTTTGACACAGCCTGTCATCATCCCAACGGGAGGATAAGGGAAGTAGCTCAGGTCCACCTTCTGCAAAGTCATGGTTCTTCATTATCTATTAAGAATTTTTTTTCAAATGCTTCATACTTGTTACCCTCAGACAATGCCTGTGAAAAATCAACATTTTTATGACTTATTTTGAAATTTGGGACCATATTAATAGCTTTATTATACTGGTGTTCTTGTTATTAGTCTTCTGGCATTCCTATATCCATCTGCATATGTTTGAAGTAATTCTCAGATTTTTTTCCTATAAAAAGATTCAGAATTTCAAGAGAATTATGAGTTGACTGATTGCTACCCTGTAGTGCACTTATTTTCTTTTTAATTGAGGTCTTATGGGAACCTTGGGCTTACCTTTTCTTAATCCAAAGTATCCAGAAGCATAAAATTAAAACTGGGGTGGGGTGTGGTTATTTTTAACACTTGCATGCTTAGGAACCAGAGACGCTGAATCAAAATCATAACAGTGTGGACAAGACAAATTATGATATTTTTCTCTACTGAATTCATGCTTTAAGAAATGAAATTCAGCATTTAATAAAATTCTTAATATCCATAATCTTGTGTTATCAACATTTATATGAAAGATACTAATCTTTTCCATTAATATTTATGCACTCATATTTTCATCAAATTCAAAAACAAATTCAAGACTTCAAAAACAGGGGAAAAAATCAAAGAGAAAAATCCACTTGAAAAATGTCTGTTGCTAGTTAAAACTAATGAGGCATTTCCCCTTTTTAATTTCTAAGAAAGGTGAGAAATTATACATACATAAGTATATACAGAGATATTTAACAGTCATGATTCTATCAAGGTAAGCATCATGATTAAAATACTAAGATAGATTAAGTTCATGTGAAAAGCATTTGGGAAAGGTAATGAAAATCTATTTCTTATACGAATTTTATATCATTTTTCTCAAAAATTCTTAATTATCCAACATATTTAGACCACAGTTTTCAACCTTATTTAGGTAAAATATTGTATTTTTGCCTGTTTTCATGATGAACTTTTTTTAATACACGTAATTATATACCCCACTTCAAACCACTTTACACTGAAGTTAATACATAACATCAGTTAATATTGCCAGTAGGGAAGAACGAAGAACAGGTTTGTGTGTCAGTTTAAAGTAATACTTTCAAAGAACCTTTAATAAGGTCTTAGCTTTGATTAGAAGTAGGTGTGTGTGTGTGTGTGTGTGTGTGTGTGTGTGTATCTGTGTGTATTTTCCAGGTATAAAAGAATATTTTGAGAAATTTATGAAATCTAAACAAGTTATTTTATAATGGATCTAATTCCAAACATAGCTCTTATTAAACTAGTGATTAAGTTAGTCAATAGAATAGTTTTTTTTCAATAGATCCAACTAATTTATTCGTTGGAATTTAGTCTTGAGCCCTATATATTCTTTAAAAATATCCTTCCTTCAAGGGTGTAAACGTTTTTCTGATGTATTTCTGGTTGGCTCTTTTGAGCCATTAAATTCAAAATGATATCACAATTGTGCTGATAAGGTAAGATAGAAAAATCTTTGAATTCCAAGTTTCTCAATGGAGGTTTGTTAAAGCCTCCATTAAATTTAATATCCTGTTGATCACTTGCAAATACCAAGTCATCTACTATATTTGTCTCTGGTTAATTTTATATCTTTTTGAATTGTACAGCAACCAAGAATCCCTTTTTGTAAAACTAGCTATTCACTAATATTGTTTACAATTTAGTTTCTGGGAATATATTACATTTTTCTTCTTTGGTCCATAGGTATAATAATGTATAAAAAATGATTACAGTTGATTAAGCACACAAAATAATAAGCACTTCCCTCTTTATTTTATTTTTCTTCTTTTTTTAAAAAAATTTTTGACAGTTTTGTGTTAGGGGTTGGAGAGATTTTGTTTTTATTTGCCATATTGTTGGTTTTATAACTTTTAAAACATGAACTTCAAGGATTATGTATTGATTTCATTAGTTTGTTGCAAATTACTGTTTATAGAAAGAAGTCTAATCTGACACCATATAAATACCAGTATTGGCACTGTAAGTGTTAAATTAGCTTAGTTGGTATAAAAATTAGCTTAGTTGGTATAAAAATTTGTTTTTCATGCTTTGTTTTAGAAGACTTATTTTACCACAACAAGTTGCCAAATGCAAGCCTATATTATTGGATAGATAAGTGTAACTCCAACAAAATTGATTTATGAAAACAAATGGTATTAGGAAAGCAAAACAAAGGTGTTAGACACAGAATTACTTTAGGGATAATGGCTTAAAGATTTGTTCCCAATTATTTATTTTTAAATATTCAACACAGTAGTTAAAGCAGTTGGCTGTGTTTTAAACCCAGCATAATATGTGAACAAGTTTAATGTATGATTGGAAAGGCCTAAATGAAACTGAACTTTGAGTTACAGTTTTCATGAATTAAACATTACCATCCATGGATAAGTCCTTGATTGTTGATCTTGGGTGCCTGCTCCATAATGGATTTCAGGTTTATTGGTATCTCATTTTTTTCAAGATTCTCTTGAGCAGATACAAATTCAGGTTTTAGGGTGCTCCAAACAGAGGAATGTGACCTTTCATGAAATATTCCCTTTAGAGGTCACATGCATGGAAACTTAAGAAAGCTTCATACTTGTTGCTAAATTAGAAAAGTAAAAAACAAAAAGGAAAGGAATGTTTTCCTCTTGCTACACATTAATAATACAATCACATGCATAGATAATGCATGATAAAGCTCCAAAACTAAACTTTGAGTATTCATTAATTTAAAATTTTCAGGGTGACAGTACGCTTGTATGGTAAGTTTTCTTGTTTGAAAAAATCATTCTGAAGCTAATTATATTTGTAATTTGTGACCTTGCTGTAATTGGGAAAAGTCATTTTTTATGTATGTAAGATAACTTGACCCTTATTGAATGTGTCAGTATGCTAGCTGTTTAAACATTCTTAATTAATCACAGGCAGATTAATGCTAAACATTATCTTTTTGTACTTATTAAAATTAATTTAAATATATTTGATCTGAAAATTGTGTTTTTTACACTCTAATCATTCATTACATGTTTGCTTACAAGAATTGAATTCATTGTAAATGTGACTTTTTTTATATTGGGATATAACACTAATATTTTGTAATAGTGATTTTAAATTTTATTGGTTTCTTAAATTTCTTTTTAAAATAAAAAGGTTATAGGGTGAGAGGAAAAGTCCAAACCTACCCTGAAATTTTAGGGGGGTATCACAAATTGATAATGTTGATCTCTTTAACACTTTAAGAAAGTGGTGCTATGGAAAATATAAAAGTTCACCCAGAAAATTAGCTCCCTTCTATCATAAAAAGTGTCACATTTACATGAACTTCTAAATAAAATAAATAAGATTTTCTTTTTTTTAGATAGACTCAAGTTCATCATTCTATTTATTAAGCAGAAATCTTGTCATTTTCTTGTTGGATCTATTCTCTTAATTTAACGCAATATAGTTGACATGAGTTCCTTTGCTATTATTGCTAATATCACTGAAATTAAATGCTTTTGGATGTCAAAAAGGTATAATAACAAGGCAATTTTTTATCAACATGGTAAGTTCTCATACAGTATTTTTCAACCCTAGCCACAGTTTATAATTACCTAAGGACTTTACAAAAACATTCGTCCAAAAAAAAAGAAAAAAAACATTCGTCCTACCCTAGTCAGAATCTTGAGAGAGGAGGGGTTATGAGAAATTTTTTAAACTCCCCCAATAATTCTACTCTACAGCCATGTGTCAACATGTTTTCATTTTATAAACCTATCATGGACTCTATCTAATCTGTTTCTGTCTTGGAGACTTCTGCTTGCTTTTCCTATAGCTCTTAGTTTAGTCTATAGTTTAGTCTTAGTAAAGAAAAAAAGAAACAAACATAAAATTAAATGAATGTAACAAATTAGTTTTTTACAAAATATAGTGAATTTAAGTGAAGCTATCAAATTTATGTAATAAAGTATGCATTCTTGAAATTTTACTATTTAATCAATTAATTAAAATTACTCTTACTCTTAATTTTTACCCTATAGACCTGCAGTTAATTATGAACAATGTGAGTATATGTATTAAAAATGTACACTCTAATTGTCATTTTCAGCCTACACTTTTTAATCAAATATTTTAAAAATTATGTATTCTAACATTTTTTAAACTATTTGCCTGGAGGGAAGTATATTCCACTTAAATAATGAGGTGAATATTTATCACTTCAAATTCACATCTCAGTTAAATTATAGCCACAAAGCCACATTCTTCAGCACCATTCAGCTAGTTTCCCCAATATCAATTTATAGTCCAGGCTTTGTCAAATTCATGTAAATGAAAGCATTCTATAAATGGAAGCATTTATGTCATCTTTGCTTTGAAGAATTCAGAAAGGGAGGAATGGAGGTTTCAAATGGTTTTCTACGGCATTAGAAGTTTTGCCTCATCTTTAAATTGTAAAACCAAGGAAACTGCCGAGAAAGCAGTAAGACTCAAAAATGGTAATTCTTGAAGACTGTTGCACTGCCAAATGGAAAAGGTTTTATATTCTTGGGCCAATATTAACTCTTGGAAGTTCTCAGATACAGATAGAAAACTAGAAAAATGGGAAGCCAGATGCAAGTAGTAAAAATAGCACTAAATCCCTCAATTGCCTCTTGAGAAAATGTTGAATTATATCCAGTGTTCTGGTTTAAGAAATCAGGGAAATGGGTATTTTTAAAATTTAATTAAAAATTGGAGCTTAATTACTTAGGGTTCATTTACCTGGAAAATTCACTCCTGTGGA